TTCAAACCATGGGCCTTATATACTGTGGATCGACGAAAAATCATTAGTTAAATGAAAATAAATGTTCATTGATCTAGTATTAGGAGTATGTGAAACTGCACTGGCGTCATGGATGAAATGGTGTTTATAAAATTTTTACCCAAATTTGCATTTTGAACAGTTATTGATATTCTATGCAGAAACCACGACCACAGCCATGAAAAATTGATAATAACGTACGATCATCGAAATCGAAATTAACAAATTTATTAAAATGATAAAATTCTAGCAGTTCACGTATTTGTATGTTATGTGATTTAATTTCTGATTTTAAAACGAAAATAAATAATCCGTTTCGCACATAATCTTTCAGAATGTGTAGATTACGGTACGTTAGTTTATGTTAGCCGGTTAAGATGCCATAATGTAAAATTTAATGTTTAGTAATCTGTATTTATTTCAAAATCTCCACCCTGCATTAATAAATATTGAATGTTTATTTCTGGCAACATTCATTGCTGTGTTGCAGCTAGAAAACGTGTGAATGATTTCTGTGTTGCTCCTAGGAAATGTGTGAATGATTTATGTGTTGCTTCTAGTATATGTGTGAATGATTTATGTGTGCTTCTAGGATATGTGTGAATGATTTCTGTGTTGCTGCTAGGAAATGTGTGAATGATTTCTGTGTTGCTCCTAGGCAAAGTGTAAATAATTTCTGTATTGCTTCTAGGAAATGTGTGAATGATTTCTGTGTTGCTGCTAGGAAATGTGTGACTTTTTTGCATTGTATTTAGGAAATATGTGCATGATTTATTTGTTGCTTATAGAAAACTTGTGAATGATTTCTGTGTTGCTCCTAGAAAATGTGTGAATGATTTCTGTGTTGCTCCTAGAAAATGTGTGAATGATTTCTGTGTTGCTCCTAGGAAATTTATAAATGATTTCTGTGTTGCTCCTAGGAAATGTGTGACTTTTTTGCATTGTATTTAGGAAATATGTGCATGATTTATTTGTTGCTTTTAGGAAATTTGTGAATGATTTCCTCGTTGCCTTCTGGGAAATGTCACGCGGTGCTCACGTGTTTCTTGACTGAAGTTCGTTCGTCTCTGCTCGGCCCAGAATTTTTTTAGTGACGCGCTCATAGCCAACAGCTGATCCCGTACCCCAATGCATGCGGACGAAATAGATGTTTTAAAAGTGATGATAGATTCTGTTTTAAGTGATGATTGATTATATTGTTTTCATTGGCTTTGGGACAAAATTATCAAATTTTTGACGAATCATGTGCACCTCACTGATGTGAGTTATCAACCTGAAACTGCGCACACATATTATTGGACAAATTTCTGACTTTTGGCGATTTGTTTTCTTTCGCGTGTTTTATCCTCCAAAAATTTAATATTAAAATATGTTTTTTACTCTTCACATTCAACCGTCTTATTTTTGCAATCGAAAATATACATACAAATTTTTAATTGTATATTCGCCACTGTTTTCCCTCGTTTTCTTTTAATTAATCTCTTTTTTTATATCATGAACCACATTACATTTTATATTTTTCACGAATATATAATATTTTTCGAGGCTAAATTATCAATTTTTAACCATTGAAACATAGGAAAGCTCCCAAGCATTAGACAGTCACGTGATCACTCGACGAGCCTGCTCCTCCTCTCACAATTTTAGCCCTGCAGCCAGATAGCAGACGACCGACTGCTCTAGCTGCCGTATACCAGGTAGTACCCCCACCGAGGCACTCCCCTTATTGTTGGAACCAAGAGCCCACTACAACCCCCGGGAGAGGGAAAAAGCGGCTAAGTGTGTACTAACATTTTTCTTAACTCTAATGTAGCCCAAGTGGAATACTCCGAAGGCAGTCACCGAATCGACACTTCTCCGAACCCGCCTGCGAACTCTCCTACGGACTCAACTGCACAAAATAACTTATTGTTCCCCCGAACCACTCATAACTCCGTGAATACTGACCGGATCTGCTTGAAATTTATACTGTCTATAAGTAGTTATTATCAATGTCCCGCGATAGGAATAATTACAGAGTTTTATTTTACATCGTTTTTAATTAACAAAAATAAACATTTTTAGGGGAACCGAAACACTCATAACTCCTTAAATACTGAGCGGGTCTGCTCGGAATTTGCAATATATGTCGTCATGCTTGGGAGCTTTCAGCTTTCCTAGGTTTTAACGATTAAAAATGGGTAAACTTTTCTTGTAAATTTTTACATATTCTTGAAAAAGCTTACATGTTCATGAAAAATGTAAAGTGTATTAACACATAGGCCACTTTGGGTATGCACTATGCAGCCTGAAACCAGCAAGGAGTAATTTCACCGAAACATTGTCGGAATCCTTGCAACTGAGTACCAATTACTAAGCATGTAAGGGGAGACTTTCTTATAGTTTATAAGAAAGTTTATTGTTAAAGCAACTATGAAAATTATTCGTTATTAATGTGGTTATTTTGTGACACCACAACTCGAATGCGCTGTGGAACAAGCTGAGAATTACTCCGACAGATGCAGCCTGCTGTATTTATGGAAGCGAGAGAAATGACCACTAATTTGATAAGCTCCTATTAGCTGATATTGCATTGCCTCTCTGCACAGCCAAACCCAACCTTTGCTCCAACCACAGAGTCTCTCTACGTTCGCCGGACAATTCCGTAATGCGACGGCCAATCTGTGATATTAAAGGACCAGTCGTTTCACCATATGTGCCCGTCGTTTCCGTTATAATTCACCATTTGTGCCCCTTCAATACTGAACGGATTTGCTCGAATTTTGGAATATAAGTAATCATTAGCAATACGCTGGGGCTAGAATAATTAAAAATTTTTAAAATTATTTCGTTTGCAATGTAAACGAACAAACGCGTTTTTTTAGTAACCTAACCGCTCACGACTCACCTAATCGACACTTCGGCGGTTCGGTTGCCTGAAAATGGCGCTTTTTCGTTTTAATTGAAACGAAGTAATTTAAAAATCTGTAATTATTCCTACCGCAGCGTATTGATAATAAATACTTAAATTTCAAAATTCAAGCAAATCCGTTCAGTATTGAAGGAATTATGAGTGGTTAGCTTGCTGAAAAAAATGCGTTTATTACCCTAACTAAATGATAAATAAATAACTGCTAAATGACCTAACTGCTGATAAATATGATTTTATTGAACACAAATCCATATATTTTGAATTATTTAATATTTTTACAACATTTCAATTGTTTGTTATTATCCACTTCTTGTTGTTTTGATTGTTTGCCTGCCACAAATCTTATAATGGATATTTAAAAATTCGACCTCAAATCGATCTGAAATTTTGCACACTTGCGTGAAATTGGAGACTATGCATGAATCAATTGACAGAATAATAATTTGAGAAATTAAATACTTTATATATTAGAAAAAATGTTAAAAAAATAATTTTTTTATACATTTGAATTACAAAATAAATGCACTGTACTTCTGTACTTTAGTAACATCGGAGACACTGGCCACTTTAGAAGTGTTGTCATCAAAAAATAATTTATAACCGCATATTATTTCATTTCTACATATATGTGCCTCTCCCAATTAAGATGACCAAAAAAATTGCTTAAAATACAAGTTTGCGCTTATTACGATTCCTTTTTTTTATATGAGTCTGCCCTCAAAATTTTATCATTCTCTTATCGAGTTCATGTAGAAAACTTTTATTCTTTGACAAACTGTATTATGATCGTTTTCGCTCGTGACAAAAGTTTAAAGTAAACACTATGTCTTTTGTTATCAAGCCTTAAAAAAATAAGCAGATATGAAAAATTGCATTTATTTTCCTTAAACCTAATATATATTCAATTAATTTATATAATAATGGCGAGATTATATGATTTAGTTGTTTTTCTTGGAATGAGGCTAGTTTTTATACAAGGCTTTTCAGACAAAATGTCTGAAATATTGAAAAAATTATGAAACAGTTGCTGATACATTCAAACGTGCTTGCCAGCCAATGTTTCCCGTTAGGTCAGTAAATATCAGTTGGTGTCTCTAATCGTGAATTGTAGATAATGCAGAAATTTTATATAAAAGGCGTTTGATATGTTACTTTCAGTTCTACTTTTGCGGCTTACAAGCAATTTTCTCATTAAATTTAATCGAACATCTTCATTACAATTAAGGAATAAATTTATAATTACGTCAATAATTTCCTTATAAAGTTTATAAATGCCTTTATACATGACATTACAAATTGTTCAATATCATTTATCAGGCCGAACTAGGTAAATACGGCCAATAAATTAATAATTTAATATTAATTAAAGTAGAACTTCTCGAGCATGAATGTCTTCTTATCTGCTACAGAAAGAAAAAATCTACTAGAAAAAAGCCTCAAGTGCTGTAAAATTTCATTTAATTTTCAATACTCGTGAACTACTTGGCTGGACACCAACAAAAAATGCAAAAAAGCCATTTTCTCGATCACCTTCACTAGGCAGGATAAAATATTTCATCTGTGAAGGTAAAGCTTTCTCTCGAAACTTGTCAGTGAACTGACCACACTGACGCACTGAGTGTGAAGAAAGCATTCAATGTGTGGTTTAACATGCTCCGCTGACTCTAAAAGTTTTGACTGCGGTACCCGATTCGAGACGCGGAATTCCTAACAGATAAAATTCTGCTCCGTGCATGATTGGTTGCTTATGCTAATTGTGCCACGAATGAAAAGTTTCTTCTTTTCTAGTCGCATCATAAGTTATGGTTAGCTTAGTATGTTTTATTTGCTCATATAAACATCGCCCGCCAGAGATATAGTAACAACAATGTAGAATGCAAGATTAAATTATCAAATTGTATCGAATTATATGTACAATATTTTTTTAGATCGATAATTCTTGCTTTACAAGCAGGACCGCGTTAATACCAATTCAGAATTACTTGATTAATTCATGTAATTGCTAGATTAGCAGGTAACCCACTTGCGTACAGTAGCGGTCTTGGCGTTGAAGTGTGTGGTGCCGTTTAGTTAGCCAGCGACTGTGGCGGTGGTAGGTTGGGTTCGAAGTGTGGGACCGCACTATTTTATTAACTGAATGTTTTGAACTGATTTGATTATAGTGATAATTAATGAATTCTACAAAAGTCTTGCCAAGGTGCGTGTTCTCCTCTTACTATCCTTTAATGCAGAGTTTTTCATGAGAAAAGTTTTCAAAGCTCTGAAGCAATTTATTATGACAATACCATAAATTACGCACAAGATCCTTCGATCAATTACGATAGACTTGGAAATGAATTTTAATGTTTGTTTTCATCTAGATGGACTGAGAGTTTTCCACTTCTATCATTTGCTTTAATTTGAGAGTAAGGCGAGGTAAACATCGTTGCGGATTTTTTAGGAAAGGAAAAAATGTGGTAGATGAATATTTATTTTATAAATTACAACTGATACATTTTTCAAGCAGCATGACAAAATGACATCACAATATCTCTAACTTTCTTCCACATTTTCTCTTCTTCGTAATCCCCCGAGAAATTCCAACAGTTTATCAAACGACGCGCATTCGTCATTCTACCTTCACACGCACACGGCGTCATCGTCCACTAAAAGCTCACTTGATGTTGATTTTAATATTTTTAACACGCTTATAACGGACAAAATAGAAAAACATTTACTCTTACATAACATTTTACATGACTTAAATGTTATGTAGGAGTAAATGTTTTTCTTTTTTGTCCGTTAAGAAAACGTGGTTTTTGAAAGTTTTTTTATTTGTTTTATTATCCTTCTATACTATCCGTCCTTCATGAGTTCATGCTCAAGATGAAAAATTGATGGCAATTAACAAATCTGTTAAATTTCAAATAGTTTGAAATTTTCTCGGCCTCTATGACTGTGCAGTGCTCTCAATGATCTCAAATTTACTGCAATGGATTTTTTGTGAAGATAAAAGCAAGAAGCAATTTACAGTCAAAATCTGTCAAAAATTTCCAAAGATTGAAGATTCTTTCCTTCACTTTTCTTAGTAAAACAGGATAAATGAACAGACCCAATAAATATTATCGTTATTCTTTCTCAAATTTGTGATTTGTTTCAATGGTCGTCGAGTCGATTTCGTGAGAAGTTTTCTCAAAAATTATGGCCATTGAAATATGAAATACCTGTTCAGTTAGTAAAATATTCTTCTTCTTGCAATTGTGATGATATTCATGGCTGACATTTTTAGAAATATTACCGTAAAAAGATATAGTTAATATATTCATTCATGTAATTTTTAGACCGATATTATAATGCCACTCTGATCTCGCATGCTAAGGGTAGATCTGGCGGTGGTGAAGGGAGGTTTTTATTCGTAGTTTAGTTGAAAAAAATAAGGTTACAGACAGACTGAATTTAACACTGGACGATTTTTTCTTTTAGAAACAATCCAGATGTATGAAAATTGGCTATAATTTGGCTTTATATTTTTTTAACACCTTGTGCCATTTGCCATCGACCAGCAGCCTGTAGGAGTTCCTTAATTGTGAGGCCTACATTTTCGAATGCATATAAAAGATAGGTTAAAGGCAAGATAAATAACTTATCTGATAAAATAATTGATTACACAAAATAACTAGGAATTTATAACAAAAATTTCATTCAAAAAGGGCTAAAACGTACGAGTCACCCCAGGCAAGCACCTGTTGGCTCTAAAATCTAAATTGTCAATTTGTGGTGAAGTAGATTGCTTTTTCTACTTGAAATTTTAATCCACACAGTCAATAAAAAAGATGGGGCATGCTTGGCGCATACAAGTTTGCACACGTGTAAGTTACTAATTTACGGCGTTACCTCATTTAAGCAGAACATTTAAACACAATGCAATATTTGTGAGAAAAAATATGCGCATCCTCATTTTCATAAACTGGATACAGACGACGTAGAGACAAAGAACTTGAATACCAATTTTTTTGAAAAATACTCATTGTTTTTATTATTTTATTATGTACTTTTATTCTTTTATTTTGCCAACCTTGATAGGCGGCGCTTAATTTCTATGCTTCGCGACCTTCCTTTCCTCGCTTCCAGCCTCTGATCTTATCAATATAACAGAGCGACATTCAGATGTGCATAAATAAGGCTCATGTTTCTATATATAGCCGGAGTCGCAGGTTGGCTGCCGACGCTTGTATAATAATGGACACTCTCACTTTCGTAGCGCTACTCGATCGCTGCGGCCATCATCCGTCAAAGCTCGCAGGCTGAGACGAGGACATTTCTTTTGTTGATATTTTTCAAAATCAATTCATGAGGAACTAAATTTGATCCAGTACGTAATTGATAAATCACTCGAGTACCCATTCATTGTCTGAGGTGCGAACATTCTTTCTCTGGGGTTGGGGTTTTGACATCGATCAGTCAACATTTTCTTGTTTACACTTATCAACATCAACTCATGAGGAACTAACATTTAATCCATTACGTGATTGAGAAATCATTCATTGTCTGAGGTGAAAACATTCTTTCTCTGAGGTTGCGATATCGATCGGTCAACATTTCCATAGAAAGCAAGATCATTGCTTGTGTGACTTGCTTCTTGACATGACTTTTCAAACGAATATTTTCACTAGAAATTTACTTGTTTTAAAGTAGCTCGCAAATTAACAGGCTTTGCTCATGCATGATATCACAGTATAAAATATTTTTACCTTTACTAAGAACGACCTGAATCGACCGTCGATTACCATAGCGGAGTACCGAGTATTTTCGGACACTCTTTCTTGTCATCCAATGAGATCAGTGTAAGTTGCCCCTGTTTATTTCAGTCGGTAGATACACTTATTATCATGGTCACACAGTACTATGCCAAAATATTTAATGTAACTGCAGACAAAATGCTAAGACTGATTGCATGATAGCCCAATCACCGCCCTGGGATACGGGTGACTGAATATAATACGTATTGGAAGTGACTTTGAAGTAACTAGTTCAATTATTTCGAGAATTTCACGAGAAGTTGCGAACTATTTTTTAATATTTTCATTTGTAAATGTAAGATCGGAATACATTATCCTTTGTCTCTGTAATCCAAATGAAAAATTTCGCCAATGCATGAACAGAAAAAAGCGCGAGTTCTGTATAGAACGAATCGAATCTCATATACTTAATACGTACTTCAAAACGATGATAGCAGGTCAGGCAACGTTTTCATTTCTTGCTTTAAATAACATCAATCGAACTGAAGGATCGGGCGCATTGCATGGTCTCCGCTTTTTGTTATGGGTTGCAGAAAATAATAGCAATCAAAAGCAATTGATCGACAATCACCTTTTTTCAGATGAATCTCATCTCCGGTGGCGTGAGAGCGAGAGAATGGCGTCATTTGCAAAAGCTATCCGCCTTCATAGTAATTCTGCTAACGACCAGCGTTTCTTCTACGGATTGGAGAGGAATTTCGAATACGGAGCTTCAAAGAAGGAGTCTGAAATTAGGCACAAACCAGCCTAATTTCGTGCAGCAGTCATCCACCAGCTGGGGTACGAAAGCGGGTAATGACGATGATCTGAAGCAAGAAGAATCTATTAATCATCCAGGACACATTCGCTTAGGTGCAGGAGTCGAAGAAGATTCTCCTCTGAAGCGAGGTATATCTAAATCTTTCAAGCCACCTTATGATGGTCCTGCACGTGATGTACCTGCGACCACTAGAAGTCCGTATGTTTTGAAAGTAATTTATGAAAATGACAATAAATATGGAGGCTTTCTTGACTTGAGAAGCGCTGAAATACAAGCTAAAGAGAAAGCACTCACTACCGAACCTGTTCCACAAACGTTGAACGGAGAGGCAGCAAGTCAGGTTTCGAGCCTGTCCTCATCTACATTGTCCAGCGACCCTAAACCTTCTGTCCACCAACTTGAAAGTGTTGGATTCTTTTCAATCTCTCCCACAGTTCCTGTTTATCCTCAAAATTCTTCAAATGTAGTTGTTGCAAATAGTCCAACATTTTATGAAAAAATCACAACTCACACAAATCTCCCTGAAACAACGTACCATCCTCACATACCGTACCAAATTGAGAATAGCAAGACTAACGATAACTTCAAGCCTTCTAATATTGACATGTTTCGACAATCGATTCAAGCTACAACTGAGACGATCTTTACCACGTCTGCACCTCAGAACAATGAGGGACTGCCCACTGGAATTCATAAAAAGATCGCAACGAAAATTTCTCCTCTCGCAAGCATTGCAGCTGACGCTTCTACAACCACCGCCGAGGGGCTGCCCTTTCTGGTAAGCGATGCCAACGCCATAAAGGGCGGTGTAAAAGTAATCAACTTGGGAAGGCTGGACACAAACGCAGATCCTAAGTCAAAAGCTATCCTAGAACAAATGAAGAATTTTTTTGGAAGTCGCTTCCAAGAGAATGTAAACCGTCCAGCATCTGTATTAATTTTTCAAAATAACAAAGAATCACTTCATCAAGGACATCAGCTCACCTCGCAAAACCACCCTACTGGAGGAAAATTCGATATTGGACGTCTTTCAAATCTTCAGCTACCATCCCTCCATGATTTGTTCAATTCGAGTCAAGCGCCAATAGACTCGTTTAAGTTCACTGGAACGAATGATCCATCATCTGCTCTCGCTGAATCTGTTGGAAACTCATTGTACGTGTCATCAGCTAACCCGTCATTTATTGGCATGAAAATCAATCACGTGAGTAGCACAGATAACAGCCAAGTCAGTCAAGCGAGTGGCAAAGACATTAGTGAAGCCAGTGTTAAAGATACCAGTCAGGCGAGTGGTAAAGCTATCAGTCTAACAAGTGGCAAAGATATTGGTCTAGCTAATAGCAAAGACATCACTCACGCGAACGGCAAAGATTTGAGCCAATTCAATCTGGCGAGTGGAATATCGGACATCAGTCGAGTCAATACTGGCAAAAGTGGCACTATCAACGGCATAGGAATCATGGGATCGCCGGTGCACGCTAAATACCTCAACAAGCTCATTCCTGTCACCGCATTCATCGGTAAGTTACTTTTGGCATAAAAACTTCTGTTTTATCAGGTAATGTATTGATGTAATTTTCTTTCAAAAATATGTCCGTATCTCATTGCATGAAGTAGTGTATAGTTCACGAAACACCATTTGAGATACCGTTCCATGCACTTACCAACAATGCAGTTTTAAATGAACCTGTTTCTTCATGTTCTCTATCCGCCAGCTGGGCTCCGACCAAACTGTCTTATATCAGTGAATGCAATTCAAGTTTTTTGTCTCTCTCATAGAGATCCTCAGCTGTATTCCTCAACCAATCACTTTTTATATTGGTTACACAGTTGTATATGCATGCCCTTCTCCGGAGAGCGTTGCAATTATCCATATCAATGTCGCTTACACAACTCAATGCGTAAAAACGCGTGAACTGGAACGTCTCAGAGATCTCGAGCATGCGAGACGAACGTGCGTGTCTGAAGATGGCATAAACACCAATCTCGCGCACCCGTTTATAGGTTATAATGCACGGTTATGAATCTCAAATTAGAGTGCATTGCGCAAAGCAAGGTTCTGGTTACGGTAACTCGCACCTGCATGGGTTTCTGAAAAGTTTATGTTCTCAAACCCACGAACCAGACTATGTTTTTTTTTCTAAATGTGTGGATTCTAAGTTAGAACTAAAGAGCATTTGCTCGAGAACATACGATAGCTTAATAAATAATAAAGCGAAATTTTATTACTTAGCATAAAAATGTTCGTATGTCTGCATGTAAATGTGTGTCAGGAGCTCGAGAAATTTGTCTACGACAAGGAACAAATTTAAAAAATTGATTTTTCCGACGCAAACTTTCTACTGGGAATTTGAAAGTTACTGGAACCTATCGTCGCGGAAACGACTAAGTGATAGAGTTGGCTGCAAAATAATCGGCTTTGACCTATATTGTTAAGAAAATTTTGTTTCCAATACAATTTTTGTTCAAATTTGACATTGTGCTTGGTGCAATTGTCTCGAATGTGTTGGAGTAAAATAGTCTGAAATAGCCACATTCTGTTTTCAATTTTGGCTAATAAACGGCAGATTTACCGCTTCAGCTCTCATCTCATTTAACTTTACCATACTTCAACCAACGTTTAAATTACGTTTTAACTCGTATATCCCTGATCTCGGAATGGAGATAGAAACTGGTTGAAACTCCCGACTTATTAGCTAAAATTTGAAAATAACGTTCCTTCATATCTTGCAAGAGCGTAATACCTAGAATCATTTCCATTTCATGATTTCCGCAACCTTATATCTTCATTTAATTTGTTTCTATTTACTTTATTTTGACATTTGAATATCAAGAATTGAAATAATTTAAAATCGTGAAATTTGCAATTATGTGGGAAATTTTTCTCACTTGCTCATAGAGGAAACGCCTTAGAAGAACTTTTTTTTTTCTGCTGGATACCACATTATTGAAATTAACATTTTTTATAATTGCTATCACCTCGTCCATTCGGTTTATATATACTCCATTATATAAATATTCTAATTCAGCCGCCCAATCGCCTGGCCCAATCAACGCCAGTAGCACTAGCTGGTAAATCAATTCACAATAAATTTTATTCAATTTCACAATTTAAGTTTTTCAATTCACAATTTATTCCTCCTTTATTTTGTTCGATTTTGTAAATCAAACATAATTCCTCGTAATTATTCAAAATGAAATTATCTAAATTTTGCAATTGAAATAATTTCACAAAACGCGTCATTAAGGCTCTACTATTATTTAAGCTTCATGCGGTTCCAACGGTTCCGATTCTCTCCTTAAAATGCGCAAAGAAAACGAATGTAAATTTTTGTATTTTCGTTTGCGCGTTCTGGCGTGCATTACGGTAACACAGCACACGTGAACACTGATGTATTTCATTATGAGGAAAACAATTTTGATTGACGTAGTGTCAATCGTGAGTTTCTTACATGAGTGACTTCGGCCTCATGAGATGTCCATTGTGGAACGTCAGCACAATTTTACATTCGTATTATGTTACGAAAAATGTTATTCTTTGAAGATTCCTTTTAAATTCTTTCATTTATCAACATCATTCGATGAAAATCATTGCCCAACATCATATAGTTTGGGTAATCATTTCTCTTTCGTTTCGCTCTTATGTATGTTGCGTAATTTCCGTCACGATTTTCTGATTGCGTCCAGTTTGAGTTAGTACGTCGTGCTTCTGATAAGAGATGCACTCAACAAAAACGAACTCTAAATATAACAACGTCTTGGTCTTCGCTCGACGTTACCGGCGAGTCCATTGTTGTGCTCGTGAAAAAAAAAGTCAACCGCATTTTTTAGCTAGCGGATTCAGCGTGGCGTATCGTTGAGATTTCACACCGCAAGGATTTTACCAATCGTTGAAACTAAGGTCCAGGAAATTAGGAGGTTCCTTGTTACTTTGTTTGCGAGCGGTCATTATTCTGACGAAATTACGTTTATTCTTTAATAATTTCCTGATGTTTAACAAGGCAAAATTAGATAAAACGCGTAGCGCACACTTAGACATACAAATGGAAAGCCATTACTTCATGCTAAAAACTCCAATATGTATTCAATCGTGTCATATTTTTTTTACAAATTCAACCATTTGATTAATGCATTAGATTCTCATCACGACTTTTGTGATTCATTGTGTGGTTGAATCGAACCTCGTCTCGTGAGCCTTCGATCGTGACATCGTTCTGATAAACATGCGTACTAATTATCGTTTTTTTACAAAACGTCGCAAATTATATACATCTATACCCTCTGCCGACCGATCACTGCTCAATTTTCTTCTCTCTGTAGTTCACCTCGTTTGAAAGATTTGAAATTCAATGCTAAATTCTTTCATTGAATGGAACGATAGGTTTTTTCACTCGGCACTTAATAGTTAATTTTTAAGAGAGACTCTCTTTTAAAGGCTTTGATTCGGTATATTGAGAATCTAAAACAGGATGTCCATCGAACATCTGCTTGCCAAGCATCGTCACCGCACTTTCTTTCTGGCGCGATGCTCCAACCTATATGGAAGAACCTCTTTTGTTGACCGACACGCTGCATGGATAAGGAAATAATTCTTATTCTCTTTAATGTTTGTTAGTTTGCGTTGTTCCTAATGGCCAATTGTTGTTAGAGATAATAAACCAGTATCAAGATGTCAAGCTCAAGTTGTTGCATAAATGTTTTTATTTTCATAATTGGCAACGAACTTTACAAAAGCTATGAGTCTAAAATAATATAGGGGTCCAATAAAAATAAAAATAAAATAATAAAATAAGTCTAATAATTTATTAATAATTTTTAGATTGAAGGGTCACTAGAATGGCTTCATGCATATAATTGACAAATATTGTTGCCTTTCCTGCAAGTATGGATGACAGAATATTTTGCGCGACTAATAAGAAACTTTGTTTGTTTTAATTAATCCCGTACATGTCGCTCATACAATCCCCGAAATCTCAATCACGTTCCAATCTTAAGAAATTTGTTAGCAAAACATTGATATTTTTGACTCGTCGATTAAAACTGAATAAACGAATGATAATTTAATGCAATGAATACTGCATTATCTAAAATTTGTAACCTACAGCTGCTAAACATTCGCGCAAATAAAAAACTGAATAAATAATGACACACTTAATTAGCAATGATAAGCATTTTTGCCGCGCCAAACTGGGTCTGGATGACTCACACAATTGTCACACTCATTACTCTGAGTGCAGATGCTGGTTGTCCCAGCAGGGTCCATACTTTCAAAACTCGCTAAGTTAACGTAAGTACTTATACTCTCTATTTTCTTGTCTATGATTGGTGGATTTTGCTTGAAATACCGTCAATGATTGGCTGATGAACTTACGATCTCTTAACTTTTTTTGAAAGTATTGGCCCAGGTCTAGACCTGCATGCACCAACATTTGTTATCCGGTCGCTCGGTCACGAGTGGGTGCTTTAGCTGCTTTAATCTCACTGTCATTATTGGCACGGAAAACGACACTTCGTTTCCGCTGTTCTGGCATTCAGCTCTGCACGCGGATCATTCTATGTCTGAGGAACATACGTTCGGTCTTTATTATATACTTTTTTATTTTTAAAGTTTAATTCTGATTATTTGTTTCATATTTTTTAACATACAGGGTTTTAATTTTTCATTGGTAATCATTATTAATGTGTTTTAGTGTACAAAAGTGAGAACTCATATGTGGACATCTGCTTAGCAATATAAATTTCTATAATTAATATCGTGTCTCTCGATATGTTCACCGATTTTTTTTGCAAGTCTCGAATATATTTTGTCTATTAACAAGAAAATTAATCGTTAAAATTACGTTACGATTTAACAAATATCGTATTTTCAACGAACGATTTTATTGAAAACCAAAGACACGATCACAATATTTCCTGAGCTGATTAAAAAACCATTGCTTCCAAGAAATATTTTATGCAATGAGAATAAATAAAAGCTTTTAGGAGCATTCAAGCTTAAATTATAAAATTAGAGGGGTTGAATAAAATAAGAAAAACTACAGGGGTTGAATAAAATAAGAAAATCGCATAACATTTTAAGAACATAATTTTATTGAAAAAATTGCGCATTTTAATCTTTATTGTTTCATTGTTAGTGTATTATTGCTGCTAATTAATATATTATGCTTCTACAGATATTTCACAAAATTTTTGTGACTATAACCTTATAAAAATAGCAAACCTCTCTGACTTTCACAGAGGCCAAATTCCAGATGCTGTAGAAGTCCCGAGGGTAGAAAGACGGAACTTCTAGGATAATTAATTAAGTACACCAAAGTTAGGGAGAGGCTAAGATACGACTGAAGGATGTGAGACAAGTTTATTAGTCCAGTGCTAGAGATGGACTGACAAGGAGCAAAACGGCTATGACAAAGTTAACACAAGAATGAACTGTTTCATAGGTGGTTTGATTCAAGAAGTCAGGCGGGATGTTGCTACAATTATTAATGCTCCCATGGCAGGTGCTACTGTGACAGAGAGTTCATGAATGCTTTACTTTTCAAGAGATATTGTCTCAAAAGTGATAAATGCTTTAGAAAGAGAAGGAAAAAGTCCTCAGCAAAGCACAGGTCTGGCCGAAAGTTAAAGTTTTCTGAGAGAGGCCGTCGGTCACTAAATCAAATTATTAGGGAAAATTTGAAAACCACGGCTCTAAAATTTACAGCAAACCTCAATCAAGACTTACAGATTGTACAGAACCTGGTTTCCGTATCAACTGTTCGTCGTGAGCTGAAAAAATCTAGATCCTAATTAAGAGCTTAAAAAAAATACTTTGGTCTCAAATACAAATGCTTCAAAGCGTTTAGAGTGGTGTAAAAACCTAAAGAATTGGTCGCTCAAGCAGTGGAAAATGGTGATTTTCTCTGACGAATCACCGTGTACCTTATTTCCAACCTCTGGTTGAGTGTACGTTTATAGAGGGTTGAAAAGAAAGGCTGAACGAAAGTTAACCTTGGGTTTAACTGAAAAAGGGGTAGAGAAAGTTCAACTGAAGAATGGGTTAAAATTTATCTGGAAATAATTTAAATTTGTATGAGTCAATACCACGTCGAATTGAGGCTGCAATTGTCGTAAAAGGTAGACTTACAGCATGACTACATTATATTTTAGGGATTTTTAAGGGGCTTCACTTTTTTGACCAACCCCGGCATATCATAGATCCTGAATACGTTAATTACCAGCGGATTTCTAAAAAAAATAAATAGAAAATATACTTTATATTTGCTATGAAGCCGAAATGCCGACATCGTTGTGCAATTTTACGTCAATCATTGGATTTTTTATAACATTTTTCATACCGTCATGATTACTCTTTTGTCTTCCCAGACTTCCACTTACTTATTTATTTAAATTTCAGATTCAAACGCAGCACCTTTGCCTGGCGTTCATTTTGTGCTGAACCCGTGGGTGTACAAGTTCCCTCCGTGGTTCGAGCCTCACAACCCTACACCTCCTGGATATGTTTCTAACAGCACTAACGAGTAAGCATTAAACGCCAAAAACTTCGACTATACGCCCTTCTTTACGGGGTGGATAAGTTGTTTATGTACTCAGAATTAGTTTACCTGTTTTTCTCTGTTCCCGATTTCCCATGCATCGAGTGTCCGAACTATTAAGCCTCAATTTGTTCGTGTAATCAAAGAGTATTTATTGATTATTTACTTGATTATATAACTTATTAAGATGAGATACAAATAATCTATAGCTATAGTAATGTAATAAAATTTAACTGAAATGCTAGTTTTCCGTAGCAATGATGTGTGGGTTTTTCGCAGTTCTATCCTCGCACCACACATTTTCTGGTATCAACAGGCGGCAACAAGCGTTATAAATACATATTTATATCTTTCAATTTTTTTTCTCAGTTTAAATCGCTTCCTGATTTGATGCACAGCACAAGACAACAGTGATATTTTTATTGCTTAACAATTATGATGCCTTCAATATCGGAAGTAAAACTTCAAATTTCATCAGTCTCATTAAACTTCTATGAATGACAATTTCGTTCATTTTAATAACGTTTTACATGTCAATATTGCTGCAAAATTATGATGATTTAATGTAGATTATTTATTTAATTTTTAATCGATTATTTATTTTTAGTTTATTTATTTTTTTAAGATTGTTTCCTTTATTTTGTATCCACTTTTAGATTACCCGGAGACATCATTCTAGACCTAGAAGACTTGCAAGCTCCATCCGACGACGGCCAGTTGGTAAATGTACGAGTTCCGAGCTTCACGCAGTTCAAGGATGAGGTTATCAAAACCATTCTTGAATCCAAATTCAGGAATGAAAACCGAAAGGGAAAGGCAGTTGAACACAACGACAATGGACAGATGAATAATAATATGTTGAAGGATGAAACGGCTAGTGGCACGCATCCAGGAAAAGTGGTAAGTGGAGTGAGGGATATCGAACTGGATGTTGATATAGCAGAAATTGAACACAGTATTGATCATGACTTGGGCAGCGATGATGATCTTTATACCAATTCTGCTGAGATTGACAGTGGACGACAGTATACCTCGTCCGGTAGCTCCAGGCCCAGCGATGGCGTGACGAATCATTTTGGGAATCCGCCGAGTCATGGATTTGATCACCAGCAATCAGTCGGAGGCAGTGACGCATTTCACGATGATGAGGGACATCATGGTGTTCATGGTAGCGGACCATCAAAGAAATATCACGAAACCCATTCGTTTGACGGTAGCAAAGTACCGCCTCCTCATGACGATATTCGTACTTATAAACCCTCATTAACGAACAATGATTATACAAGCAGTAAGCCTCCTGATATTCAAGAGTTCGAAGAACCCGACGAAGGCAGCGATGAAAACATTTTCAACAAGAACTTAGAGTCAGATCATCATTTCCATGACGGAAAAGATGAATTCAACACTGATGCAGATAGGCCCTTTGGTCATGATGACATCGAACTGTATAATGATGGCTATTCGCCCTCACCGGTTTACGGTACTCCTCATTTCCATTTCCCAAATTCACACAGTGGAGCTTTCTCAGGGCAAATTTCCAATTCGGCTGGGAGTGAATTTAGTTCAGAAGACGTATCCGATTATAATCACAGTGGAGAGATTAATTTAAGCAGTGGAATCACAAATTCCGGAAATGAGATTTCAGGAGTACCAAGCTTCCCCACTAGACCCGAGCACACGCAAGCTGCTGGACTTGGACACGCTGCTTACGATCCGTCAGATGCATCCTCTAATTTTGGCTCTGACACCACTAATGATCAAGCAGGAAAATTAAAGTCAAGTGCCGGGGATTACAGCTTTGACAACGTGCATGGTGGTTACCCTTATGGTGTTCATGACAGTGAATCTGATATTGGTTCTGATTCACATGGAAGCAATTTTGAATCAGGAGTTATAGGTACAAATTATGACTCAAGCGCACCAAATGATTTCGATCATCACAACCAAGATGAGTCTGAAACAGAACTTGACACTCATAATCACTTTGGACCAGATGGTTCTGTGGGCCACCATCAGCTTAGTTCACTGGATCATTATAGTTCGTCCGATGGGAACGCTTATCAAAATGATCGCCCTCACCATTACTCGGAGGTACAAAGCGGCCACGGTGGCAACCCTGGACATTCAACAGGGAAAATTATCTTTAGAGATAATGCTGAAGTCAATTATGGAAACAGACCTGACCATGAAGGGGGACAACTTAGACCTTTTTCAGGGCACTCTGCCCCAAATTACAAACCTTTCCGACCCTCTCCTCCCGATCCAACCAGCATTGCGGATACTTCGTCGCTGCAGAGGCCTCTTCAATACCAACATATACGATCCAAAGTCCCCAAACAATACTTTCAGCAGCCGCATGGCTATGCGTACGGAGATAAATACTCGTCGGTGTTTGTGTCGAAACCCAAATACCTGAAGTCGCTGTATGGGCCTCCTAGTAAACAAAAATACAATCGCAATCACGGCAATAAACCCTTTAGGCCTCATCCTATTCTTGGTATGAATTATATACTGACGCCTCACAAGTATTACTACGACAGCCATCGTTCCACACCAATTATGTCATCAGGTCAGGCAGTAACCTACTGGGTTCCCAGTAAACAGAATTTCTACCGTTCTTCGTCCACGAAACGACATGACTTGGAAGACAGTGGCAGCCGCCTGTCAGAAAAAAACCTTGTTGTTGGCTTGCATCCTGCAATTCAGGAGATTGTCAACCCGAGCTCCCGTTTGGCACCCCCTGCAAAGAATGCCGCTGGTAGGAATTTTGGAACACCTCGTTTATCAGAAGGCCTTGACTTACTTCCATACCTGAATTCTTTACACGCTTCTCGTAGAAGGAAGGATAAACTAAATATTTCTGTGCCTGTTAGTTACACAAATAATCCGCTACGAAATGTTTCCGTTACCCCAAGCGAACCTTCCAACCACGATTTGTTGGAACAATCTAATTCAGTAAAAAGGAATACAAAAAAACATTCCATAGAAAATGGTATTCGAGTCGATATAATTTATGGATCTCGGAAACCTATCCCGGCTTTGTATAAAGATTTATCAAGTGAAATCCCGATCCCTCCGCATCTTCTCAATAGTAAATATCCTCACGTAGTGGTGAAAAATTCTAAAATAAGTAATGGAACAGAATCTTTTCCGCGGCCCTTGCTTCTTGCGAGCTCTGCGATCCTTGGACGTTTGAAACAAAGGGTCACAGAATTGAGAAAATATTCGCCGTCACAAACAAGCCAATGGCATTGGCCAGGAGAAGCTCAAACTCACAAGTGAACCTTGTTACAAAAATTTGAATTTCCTAATACCTAAAAATTTGATGTTTCACGTAAGATGTACATTAAAACATAAACAGAAGATACAAATATTTAGCAAATTAATAGGTTTGTCATAAGTGGAAATTATTGCGATTTAATTTTTCTTTGAACATCAAATAAAATTAAAGTTAAGTTTTTTATTAAAGTTGTTGAAGAAAATGGAATTATTCCACGTCCACGGAGTTAAAAAAATGAAAATCGACGTAGAAGTTGAAAAGCTTCAGTATATTACAGGGTCCTGAAGATCGTTGTAAGTATTTTTTTCTAAAGATCTGTTGACATTTTTTAATTAAGGTTGCCAATTTAATTGTAGATTACATTCTGCATTTGGTACGCTAATGCAAGATGAACCCTCCATCACCCATTTTTTATACATTATAAAGTCATCCGTCGTCCTCTGTGATCGATATGCTCTGCCGCTACTATATACTGATGAAAATTACGAGGACTAAGAATTCTATCTAATATTTAATAATACTCCCACATCCAAAAATGTGAAATCCCGCCTCTGAAATCATTAAAATGTGAAATCCCCCCCTTCCCCTCTGAAATAATGAAGATGGTTCTAGGTAATTGATTCTCATATAATAAAACCAGGTCCAGTTAGCAATCGTTGTTATTTATTCTTTGTTTTTGTTTGCTTCTAAATACACAGCATTTATACAGTATTTGAATAGTTTCATTTACAACGTGTCGTTTCTGTATAGTATCATGTTGTAGAAAACGAAACTAACGTTCATCCAGAAGAGATTATAATGAATGCAAATGAGCTATTGAAGCGAGAAGCGTGTTGGTTTAGAGAGTCTTCGGTTGGGAAAGGTTTTACTACTATATAGCCACAAAACCCGGTTGTTTGACTTGAACGTGTTCAAGAAACATTGTTCAAATGTTGCGTTAGCCTTTAATTTAGTAAACAACGATAGAAGTAGAACCTCTCGATTCAAATGAAAAAGTAATTCATAGACACGATTTACATTTTTAATTACAAAACGTTTACAAATGTAACGGGTTTTCAATAAAATGCAAGTCGCTTCTAATTCTTTATTCTGAATACAATAAAATACTTATCACAGACCGTGCTCATTCCAGGTAATCAAGGTGCTTGGCACTCTTTGTACAGTATTGAGCAAACGTGTTCATCGCACTCGAACAATTCCACGCACAAACGTGCACTTATAATACTGGTGATTCATTAGGACAGTTCACTCGAACTCGTATGTAATTGGAAGTTTTCACAACACTGTGCATTTAGCCACTCAAACAGCGCGTATTTATAACAATATAACCCTTATACACAAGTACTAAATGCATGATTCCATTGAGCATCACTAGGACTTAATCATGTATAAATGCACGTTCTATATTCGTCATTTGTACCGTTTTCACTCAAATTTGAAATTCACACTAATTATATTAGTTAATTAGAAAATGCTTTAGCATCCAGATTTACGAAAAAAACGCGTCTTGCCACCAGACAATTCATCTTAAATTTATATAGCTAATAAGTTGATAACTGAACTGAGTAATAATAATAATCATTTAAGCAAGTTAATAACTGAAGGTTGTGGTAGTATAGCCGATTATATGTACATGTTGAACAGAACTCTAATATTAGCCATTTAAACTATATAGCTCGCGAAAGTTTATGAGAATGACGAGTTCAGATATTCTGAACAGAAATTTTGCAATTTAGTTATCGAAGGAATATTATACGTTTTAAAAAATCCGTTTGCTTTAAACATCATAAAAATTTAAACCCCAAAAATTTAAGCGAAATTAAATTTTTATAACGAAATTCGTACATTTATACTTGCTCTTGGGAATTATTTCTTTACACTCACTGCGAAAAGTTTGGTTCATTTAAATATATTAATTTGCTAAACTCTAGGTTGGTTTATTATTAAGGCACTCGAAGAATACTTTTAACTCTAATTATATTATCTATTAAGACTGACTGAATAAGGCACTCGTTTTACACGTATTTAGAGCCATACGCGCTGAATGGACACCAAACGTACCGAAACTGACATATATTCTCATGAAAATTATTCTGCAACGGCCGATTTTGGCGAAATTTTCGAAATCTGAGAGGCGTCATCTAGCTCATTGGAAGGATTTCTGAAAAAAAAAACAACGGCATTCTTAAAATATACCGCCCACTGGAACGCTCTCTTATTCTGAGTGCGTTAAATACGATTTTCATCTAGCCGCTTGTTTGAATTGAGACCATAAAACTTGATTCAACATGTCCAGCTCAAAAATAACATAACGTTAAGGAAATGATGACAGTATTCCAGTAAAAATGTCATCATATCGAGTTAAAAGCTTCATTTTAAATCGGTATTATCAACGATAAATTATTTAGCCCCTTTTATTACAGGCCAATAGAGATAAATTAGAGCAATTATCATTTAGAAATTGCGTTCATCGATTATTTATCCGGAAAAAAGAATAGCAGCTAACTACAGTTTTGATTTTATCATTATTGAGTGAATTAATTAATAAATTTTTATTCACTGACATTAACATTCTTGGGCTCAATTCCTCTTTCAGCGAGCAGGAGGTCCATGGCCAGCAGCTGTTTTTTGAACTCGGCGATTTTGAGCCGAAAATGAGCGTTTTCTGCTTCAAGAAACGCCGCCCGCTGAGTGATCTGGAACAAATTATTAAATTAACCTTCGTTAAATTAATAACATTGCCAAATGACAATTACATAATCACTCAAGTTAATTCATGCAATTAGACTTCGCATTCAAAATGCTCAGCTAAAATATGACACGTGACATCCAAGATTGAGAGAATTCCAAAACAAAATAATATATAATCCGAAATATAATCTCTAAAATGTGCCCTCTAATTCACACGAACGAAATCGTTTCTATATTAATTTAGCTTAACTCAGAAAAAGTATCTGATAAAGACTGATTTATTTTAGTTCAAGTTATGTAAGTTTAATTTAAACGTGTTTAGGTTCATTACAGTGAGGTTTATATTAATTTAAGCAAATATAAATTTAGTTTCTATTGGTTGTTAGTTAATGTAAGTTTAGTTTATACAAATTTACTTAATATCAGTTAAAGTTTATATAAATATATAGGATACTAGTCTTTAGTTTAAGTATGTTCAAGTAGTAGTTTAGTTTAAGTATGTTAAGTATATTAGTTCAAGTTTATTTAAGTCAGCTTTAGCAAACTTGAAGTTAGTGAGCAGTAACACTCACGAGAGACTCCCTGAGCTTCCGCTGGTCCCTACTCTTCTTAGCCGCTCTGTTATTACGCGACCGTCGCTCGTAGTAGCGTTCAGTCTTCATTTCGTCAGGAATAGGTTTCTTCTGACCGCGAGGCTTACGTTGCCGAACAGAAACTAGAGCCTTCATTATCAGCGCTTGCTCTGCACAAAATAGAGGTGATTGCAACAATATTTCCTTAGAAATAATTACATATGCGCCCATAATAGGTATGATAAATAAGGTTTAAATATCCTCAATTGTTATGATGTAAATGCTAGTAGACGCAGCTAACCTGGAGGCAGCGGAGCTGAAGAGTTCAAATCAACATCTTGGGTACGCGATGGCGTTTCAGAAGATGAACTCTGAAGCGGTGACGTCGCCGGTTCGGGGTCAAAATTTCCCAAATTTATTGGAGTGTAATTTGTGAGGGGCTTTAGGGAAGCTTCTGCAGGCGCTGGAGCCTGAAAATGAGAGATTTCAGCATTCATATATATTGATCTAATTGATATTTCCTCTAGCGAGTATAATTTTTCTTCCTGAATTTTATTCAAAAGAAAGTTGTGAAAGGTGAATCTATGATTACATCAAATGAGATTGTTTTGATGAACGTCAGCTATGTCATTCATTTCGAAGAAAAATTTATTGTGCTTCTTTTCCATAACGCGCTGCAAACTAATAGGAAGTTCAAAATTTTTTTACTTTAACTAAATGCTGGTTTCTGCCACCGTAGATTTTATTTCGTTTTCGTTCTTTAAAAATTTTTTTTTACTTCAAACTCATCATTTCTTCACTGGCATTTGTCTGATTTAAGTATTGTGGCATTATGATCACTAATTGTGGCACTATAATCAGTTCTTTATTATAACTTATTTAGTGCATCATGCGTGACTACGCATTATACAAAATAAATAATTAATCGCACCTGTGTAGTGACACTTTCACTGTCTCGTGGGACTCTGGAGGTGAGGGTGAGGCCAACCGGAATGGTGACGGTTTGATCTTGAGGATCATCGCTACAGTGAATCCTGCTGACAGTGATGTCTTTGCCTTTAATTTTATCGAGCACTTCATCGTCCGTGATGAGGCATTCACTTACTTCACGTTTTTCATGAGAGATAATTCTGGTCTTGGTTAAATCAATTGATTCTGTCACTGAAGTTCCAGAGACATGACTAGACACATCAATGCTGCTGTCATTGCTGTCATCGAATGCGAATTCATTGTTGCGAAAAGGGAAATTACAAGCGTTTTCTTTGAGAGCGTTTGCGAGTTGGAGTTGAGCGACTAAAAAAGGGTTTTGAATAGGATTGAACTGTTGTAAGATATTGTTCATGTAAAGCTGCTGGTGTGCCACGGTCACAGGATTCATCTTGAGTGTCTCGAGATTCAGAGGATGCAGAGTAGGAGAGTTGAGGCTGCCTAGGAGACCGAAGGATGGGCTGCAGTTCATGATGTATAGACGTTGAATGTATGGTTACTGTGGAAGAAAAGTAGAATTATTGTCTTCATTGATCTCCAGTGGGGCCATAGCTATAATAGGATGCGTTGGTAACTTAAGAATGTATAGGAATGGCTTGATTTACCTAGCGATGCATTATTATTGGTTCCATTAGTTGCAGTGAAATGTTAATGAAATTCGTACTTGTGAATATTTTTCAAACTCGCTGAATCGTCATGCTTTTTATAATGCTAAACAAACAAAAACAAATAATAAGCGAAATAATATTTTGATTACAGTAATTATCATAATATTAACAATCTTGAATTATTATTCATCGAAATAATGGTGACAATAACGTAATTTTTAATGATAATAAAGTGTTTGTTTGGAAATTTTGTGTGGCATTTTGAGCCACACAAGCTGCGCTAATCAAAAAATTTACATGAAATCTAACGATTGGTGGATGATTACCAGCTAATCTGTTTTGGATAGGTCTGGTCATAAGGCCAGTTTTCATTTCACAAAGAGAGAAGTCAAGAAAATTACAAGAATCGGCAACTATGGTCAAACTTGGCCTATTCTTCAATGCCGATACTATACTATACTATACTATCCTATACTATACCATAATATACTTTACTATAGTAGTTTACTATACCAGACCCCAAACACATATAATTATACGGAACAACTCTTCCATTAAGCCGCCGTACGGATAAGTCTACGGACACACACTGCCATCATCTGTCCAGCCTAGCCTGGTCCAATCAATAACCGTAATTGAAGGTAATGCTTGGTAAGAATTGAACAGTGTTGAGCAACACTGCGACCGGTCAGGTCTCCAGGATAAATTGGGATCAATAGGGAGGTGGAGCTCAGGGTGGAATATTTGATAACAGTGATGGAATATGGAGAGGATATACTGTAAAATGCAAAGGCATTTGACTATATTATTTCCATAGAAGATAGAAAAATGTCATAGGAGATGATGCAGATGAAATATGCCACATGAAACTTGCTACCACAAGCTCTAAGGATATTTACTAACAACAATAAGATGCAAGTAAAAATAATATATTAATTTACTCTGAATGAAATTCCATTTTAAAATTAAATATATTTCTTATAAGAAAAGAAACGCATTTCTTCAGGAACTATATAGGTTGTCTACCCTATGTACTAACTTATTACTTTACTTATAAGTTTTCCAACCTTTTGAATACACAATTGGGTCCAAGAAAATCAGTGCTAGGGGATTTCTATATAATGTCTTCAAATAACTCGTGTGTAGATGAATATTTAAAGGCTTTTTCACGCATAGTTTTGTGGTGTCCAATATTTTTTATGAGTTATATTTCAGTTTTAAATAACGAGTGGAATCACTGGCTTGATCTAAAAATTGTTAAAACAGTTGCGTGAGTTGAAACTAAAAAAACTATGGCTGTTGAATGAATGCATAGCAAATGTCCGGACATAACAAAAAACATTAGCACGAGGCTTCCTCACACCGAACATTTTTTTCTGTTCATTCCATCAATTCTGGTGAAATATATAGTACCAGTGCCATGAAAAAATGCAAATAATTTTTAACACTGAAAATACTAAAGATTTTTTTGTTATATTATTTATACTAATACTAATTATAATTCAATATAACCGTTCGAATTTCAAATGAAATACCTGCTCCAGACTCTCAATTGATATTGAGAATTTATCTCACGGCGATATATTATTAAGATGATTTTTGCGTTGCCGCAGTTACCCATCAATAATTTTGTCCAATGTTAATGAAGGAAGTCGTTAAACATGTAACAAGGAAAACCTAAGTCTTTTCGCAAGTTTTGAACTGACATCAAAGCCAGTAGAAAATATTGTCAAACTTATTTAATATTGGCTCAGACGTTTATTGATAAGTAATGTTTATGGACCAGAACCCATCACTCTTGGTTTGTTTATACTTTCCTTGCCCTCATACGTTGCCCGTAATATCATAACTTGTTCATGGTAACGTAAGATTTTATTCACCTCGACTTTTACTTGAATGCTGCGCTAGATTGAAAAAAAATAAAAAATAATGAATAAATAAATAAAACTAAAAAAATAATAGAAATAAAGTTCTCTTTAACTCTTCTTGAAACTTTCAATAATTCAATCACGCATTAAAAATGGTAAATTAAAAGTAAAAGTTTAATTTAGAGATTGCCTATGAATTAAAACAAATTAATATCAACAAAATTCATTCTTCATTATTATTATTATTATTATTATAAGTCGTAAGGTTGAGCCGTCCAGCTTTACCATCTCTTAAATATCTGCAGGGCAGCTAGAAGGCAGGAAGAGTTCGTTCTATTGCAGCGACGTCGGTTTGCGTGGCCCAGTAGCTTAGGCAACGAGTGCAAGGATCAATGAGCGTTAAGCATTATTTAACGCGACCACCTGTGTAACACGCTAATGTATCCTCGTGCGACCAGTGAACCTGTGTCGTGACCCGACCCGAGGTGACCGCTCGCTCCGCCCCGGGACTATAGCCCCCGCCTTGTCGCTAGCACCAACGCAAGCCGCTCAGGGATCCGATTGATTCGCGCATAATGAATTTATGAAGATTATATTGATAGATTAAATTGAACAAGCGAATTAATTTAAATGTACCACGAAAGAAAATAATGCTAGAAAATCTTCAATTGTCTTGCTGCTGCAATGCCATTACGATTTTAGACGATTTCTAATGATTCATCGATTGAAAGTATGAGCAGGATTATTACCATTTTAATCTTCAGTGAAATTATATTTTTTTGGCCGATGACATAAGTTTAGCGAAAAATCCATTCGGGTAATGCGACATACACCGATCGCAACTTCCACCCCATGCATGCATCATCTTCGATGCCGATGCACCGCTTAAATTAAAAAGATCGATGATGGAAATGGCTGTTTCCATAACCAAGATTAAGAATTTTTAATATTAATATTAATAATTAATAATTATAGTAACCAAGAGAAAGCTCTTCTATATTCAACGGAACCGAGGAATAAATTACCTTTGCAACTGGCGAAATTTAAGTCTTTCTGGGACTTTTAGCTTGATGCGTGTGACAGGATTTGAAATATTCGCAATGGTTATAGCTATAAGATTATTGTAAATCTCGGCTTAAGGCCAATGATAAGTTGTAATATTTCACAAATTATTAGCTGTCGTTATTTTGATCTGAATTCGAATATTTTAAATTCTCAAATTTTCTGTACACTATATAAGCCACACTTTTCCTTTCTCGGCTTTAAATAACTTGAAAACCTAAATATTAACATCAATTAGATAGAATTAAACACAGAAATTAAACGCTTGAAGTGTAATTGAAGACTTGGTTGGAGAGTAGTTTATTTTAAATGGTTCTTATGGTTCTTATATATCCAGCGAGGTCCCCTGCAATCGAACATTGCAATTCTTAAAGGCTGAATTGTAGCGGATGAAGCGTCCTGGAAAATGACGTCGCTCCATATAAACATCGTGAGAATACCTCAGATACGTTTTATTCCGCATGAAATTTTAGCGTAATATTCAAATTATTGAGTAATCATTCAATCGGGTTGAATAAATAGCGTATATATTTTAATAGATTTAAATTGACGAGAAAAGACATCTAACAGAACTATTTAGGTGATCTTGACATATGAAGACCTTTATACATTTTTTAAAATTACCTTCATTCTGTCACTTCATGTTATGAACTCTAATAAATGATTAACTTCAAAAATTATCTATCTACTTCGTTCTTCTCAAATTTACTAGCCGCTATATGGCATCTTGTCGCGTTCAACTGCTTGTTTCTTCGAGGTGAAGTTTGAATCTTAGAAGCGCTAAATCCAACATGCATGAGAAATGAGGTAACTTCCAAAAAAGTTGTCTAAGTGTCTTTTAGCATCATCAAACAAACTTGTCAGATCTCCTCGTGTATTGAAAGGTTAGCAGATCCTTTTATTTTTCAGGTCTTAAGTTGTTTCGCAAAAAAACACATACTTTTGAGTACAATGCGATTTAAATATTTGTATAAAATCGAAAAATAGTTTATATAAGTACTTTCAAATTCCGGAAAAAATCGTTGACACGAAAACATGATTATTATTTCTCAACAGTCTATGTGCTTGGAATATTATAAATTTAATCTCTAACACACATAAGAAATATCAGGGAAATACGCTGCAGTATAAGCTAAATTCTCCCAATGTTACATAATTCCATCATCAAAAACACTCCCTTACCTATAATGTTGAGTGTGTGCAAGCTTGAGGCTCCAGCTGACCTAACGCCACCACCTCCGGAATTACACTAACGCTGCCAACCCAAGCCAGCGTAACGATCAGCGTTGCTTCAAACAACCTGCTTGAACATTTATTACCGCAGCCACAGGAGCCATCGATCTGGAGGGCTTTTCTAGCTCCACGACAGCGAACTCTGACATGCATGGAGTTTTCTAGCTCCACGTTTTCTAGCTCCACGACAGCGAACTCTGACATGCATGCATGGAGTTTTCTAGCTCCACGTTTTCTAGCTCCACGACAGCGAACTCTGACATACATGGAGTGTGTCGTGTGGTTGCGCAGCCGTGGTGCGCGCACGTATTTTGCGTCACTATCATTTATTATTTAGAAGCCTATGACCGTAAATGATTTATAAATTAGAATTCATCTATATTTCAGATTTAGAAACAATTCACCAATTGGGTGACATGTCGTACGATCTTTATTAAATTTGAAAACTATAAATATTATCGAGAATTTGGCCATAACCTATAATTTTATTGTCAGCCGTTGCAAACTACAAGACTCGTTTCCATCTTCGTGAGACAAAGTTTATGTTCACTCAAAAAATTCCATGATGCTACATGAAGAGTTCCCCGTAAATCTAAATATTCGCAAAAAATAGTCAATTTACTTTTTTACAAATTCTTTTTATGCAAGAAAATTCAAATCATCGAAAGTACATAAGCCGTAGGGCACCCTTAATTTCAAACGTCGATTAAGAATGTACAGCATCGAGGGATGGACTTAAAACTCACTCCTTCAATCTCACGGTTCTTCAATTTTTATTTTTATAGAATTGAAGTCAATCTTAAAATAAAACAATTTTTTCATCTATTAGTTAATGATTAGACACTATCCTGGAAGCACTTACGCGATCGATGACGTGAAGTGATCCTTGCCTTGCGCCACGTGCTGCCATTGCGCCGGTGTCCGCAATCCGCATGACCAGACGCCGCTAAAAACCGCTCAGCACGCCATCATATAATAATTCTCATTATATAGTCAAGTTCTCGCAAATCCGTTAAGAGGATCCTTTGCCTTATTTATGTATTAATAATAGATTAGGGTAATTGATTAACATTGGAATTAATTTTTTGATAATAATTTTAAAATAATTTACAAATGAGATCATTCATGGATCGTGACTTTCTTCAATAAAAAATATTTTATTGTTTGTTAAACCGTCTTTCTTTGGATCAAATTTACCTAATAAAATACATATCACTTTTTCAAGTGAGCACTAATAAATTTTCACGCATCTTGAATTTACTAAAACCGAGACAAATGAATATCATTGTATCGGTAATTCCTGTGACAGTAAGAAGTTATCAATATGTGAGGTCAAATATATATTTTTGGAGTTAAATAGATTTTTCTATTTCCGAAAACATTCTATTGGTTGCTTTACTTGCATATTATATAATTGGCCTCAAATCCTACGTAATTCACTTAATTTGATGAAACCTAACAATGAATTCCGTGTTAAATTGAGGCCAGCTGCATTATTACAATGCACTTTAAAAACATTCCTGTATTAGCCTGTACAACACACGAAGTCTTGAAAAACGTCCAAAATAGTTTAAATAATGCAGGAACAATATTTTAAATTCATTGATCTCATTGCACCATTCACATCAAGCACACCCACAGAGCCAGACCAATTTGCAACCTGTCAAACATGGCAAGGTAACTGGGAAGAGGAGAGCGCTCTGCGCATGCGGAATGTTCATTTCTTTGTAATTTCCAAGCACAAATCTGGTCTTTTGGCGCAAATATGCAGAGTATCTAATATTTAGCATAATTATTGCAATATCAATGACAAAAAGTAATGTGGAGACAATCTTTTATAATCTAGAACCCGGAAGAGTAAAAATTTTATCGTGCATTTCATAGAGCCTTTATGCTTTCACACAATGTCGCACCTCCGCGCTCTATTGATATAGATGATCGAAACCTAACTTATATTATTTAATTCACAGAATTATGGAAATATTGTTCAAACAACAATTAACGAAGTTATCTCTAAAATACTTTCTGTCAGAAGCGTTTTCTACTATCATCTTACTTCCGTAGTTGAGACTAAATTAAATTTTTTTTCAGGATGTTTGCTGTGAAATGGCGCGAAATATAAGAACAGTGGTATTTTCATTAGCCGATGTTATTGATTAGGTTTACGAATGAAGTTAGCAACACGAATAGAGATTTATATAATTTGTTTTAATTCGTCGCAATTTCTCATTTAATTCACACGTTTGGCTCTCTTGTTTTCATCTATATTTTATGTCGATAAAATTTGAATTGCTCGAATTTTATTTTTTAGCTGTTCGTCACATTTTTTTATGAAAAAGTTAATTTTTTTCACAATTGTTCAATGTGCTCTGGTAATCGTTTGATTTGCTCCCGAGGCATTTTCTACATATGAAAAGTAAAATGCAATTTATCACGACATGTATCGGGCAAAAACGAATTATCGTGATTGAATTTCAAAATTAGATCTTACTTTTAATTCTATTCAGTTATTAATAATATCATAAATTCATTCCAATGTTTGTGGCACACGTACGATATTTAATTTTTATATTCTCAAGATAATAATTCGTAGAACTTCATAATGTTTACTGGACATGATGTCGGAATGATTGTTGATAGTGTGAAAATGACCACTGGTCTGATGCCAGTCAGGTCAGGTGAAAACTTTTTACTAGAAAATATCGGCCCAAGCCACGTGAGGTTAAACAATATTTGTTGTCTTGTATTCTTCGGTATACTTAATATTTTGAAAATTGTAAGAACGTAGGTTTCCACCTTCTTTTGATAATATTGGTCTCACCATCTGCTGAGCATAAGTGATGCAGACAACTGTTTTTTGTGTGACTAAACGTCTCGTGATCTGAAAACTGTGAAGAGAGAGACAGCGAGTTGCCCGCCGCTGTCGGTGCGTATACTGCTACTTTGAGAGGCAGCGAATCAGTCAGTGCATTGCAGTGATGCCGAAAGGTTGTGTCGTTCTTTAATCTGTGGGTCGGAGGTGCCGGCCGGTGCACCCCTGCCAAGCATAACGTGCAACATACAAATTGGTTCTGTGACGACAACTTTTTGATTCTTGCATCAGCTTGAGATTGAATGCAATTAACTTCTCAACAACGTACAATTTGAGAACTTAATCCGAAAAAAGTTCCCTTGTTCGTGGGAGTTTCCCATGCTAGTATGCACGTTTTTACTACCACATGCTAAGAAGTCAACTATATCCTCCTTTTTTCTTTTGTTTGAATACAATATTTAACTTAGTTCATTCATGATATGTTTTTTTTATAATGTGTAAAGCTAATAGAGTAGCCTCAGTTATTTGTAGAAATTGATTTGCCAATGATTTTGATAAATTTTTCAGAGAATACAAGTCTCGAGAAAGTGTGTGCATCATCTACTTATTTTCAGACATCTAGACATTTTTGTTGTGGTACGAGAGCTTAATTCGTGGGCGTTGATTGAAAATACGCTTATGGGTTTTTGAAGCATTGCAACTTGCATGCAGTGTACCAATAATTCAATGTTTTGTTAGCGATAGAGAAGATCAAATAACTTACAACTCGACGCATGTTGTAAACTGAGACTCGGCGAGAAGTGGTTGTCGTGAAGCATACGGCGTGCACACGTGGCTTTTGAAAACCAGTCGCTTGTCGCTGTCGTTTGTAAGCTGTATACGTCCAGCATCACGCCAAGTGCTGCTGTTGAATGACACATGAACTTTTCACCTCTTGTATAGCGTTTAATTAACTCATTCGGCACAGCTCTTGAATCAGGTGTTGCATAGGAGAAGATTCAGGAATTGAACGTTGACATAAACCGTGAACGCTGTTGCGGCTCAACCGATAACAGCAACAACAAAAAGCTTTTGATGTACGTTGTAGGAGACTGATCGAGTGATACCTGGCAGTGCTCCTGTTACCAAGTTCAGCTCGGTCTGGCATCTCGCTCTATACAAATGATGCCCTTGAATGCATTTAGCTTACTGATGCCACTATACTCTATTTAAACCAATGAAGAACCAACACTGAGTTACGTGACAAGTTCATGGTGTAGTGTGGGCACCTTAAGGAAATTTTTTCGTTAAACTAGCAGACGCTTTCTGCAATGTGTAGTTTAATATTTCGCCTCATGATACACCCTTTTCTGATTATGGTGCAACATAGGTTTACAGTTATGGTGTGTGACTGATTAGTCTCTTCGGTACTGTTGAAAATATAAGACTTGAGCTTAATAGTAATTAATAATTTGATAATTACGAGTACAAACGACAACGAATACTGAGTAATAACTGTCACAACTTACTATTTAAATACAAATTAATCGCTGACAGTCTCGAGTGGCTGCGGCCGCGAGGAAGTTCTAAAATCGTTATCTCTTATCGAGAAAATATCGGATTGATTCGTGCCGAAAGGTTACAATACCGTGCCATTAACGTGGTTAAAGTCTTCACGTAGGCTCACGATGGTGCTAAAGTTGGCGGGTATCTTGGGATTCAGTGCGTGTCGGTGGGTGGTTTCTGTATGGGTGCTGGCGCTGCTTCTGCCGCTCTTACTTGAGGTGGCCGACACCAGCGTTCAGGCCAGCCGGTCTTTGGTTGATGAGTCCGGTAGTCTTGACGCGGTTGTTTCTCCGCGTCAGGAGTGGAGGCGGAAGCGACGTAAAAATTCAGGTGAGCAACTCAATATTGTGTAGGTACTGAATTGATAATGTCAGGTCAGGTTAACCTCCGAGCATTATCTATACAACTGATAATTTCAGGTGGTTATCGAAAGTTTATTGAGTAGATTGTTAAGGTGGTTATCGAAAGTTTATTGAGTAGATTGTTAAGGTTGTTATCGAAAGTTTATTGAGTAGTTTATTATTTTCATGTGTGAAGTAGTATATCATTCATGACAACTTCAACAGTACTAAAGCTTAACAGTGACGGTATTAAACCCATAACAAACTTATTGAGTGTTGTAAACAGAAGCGATTGAGAACCTCGATGATCTCAAAGTTATATACGTACTTTTGTGACTGCCAAGAGAACATCATTGATCATTCCTACCTCTAGATTTACATAGGTCGGCTGAAATATATCGTATTTCGTTTAGTTTTTTTTCTGATGAATTTTCGCATCCATATTTTACGTCTCTGAGAAGTACAGGTGAGCCATAGATTTATTTATTGTATTGTTTAATTCCCTGAAAGTTATCTAGATGTTAATTTCATGTGAAAATGAAATCCATCCATTTTTGCGCGTTATAGCTTTTCAATTAAGGTTATTATCTCGTGCCGTGCACCTAATAATGCAGCTGCTCATTAAATGCCCTACATCATGACGCCTGGCAATCAGTATTTACCGGATCAGCTTGTAAACCGACGAAGGCGGGAATGAGTGTACATAGAAAACTACATCCGTGAGATTAAATTTCTTTAACTGGGTTTGATATCGTATTAAATTCTCGCTCGTTCTGCTTCTGACGACTGTTCTCATTATAATTCTGAGAAACTTTTTAGTGCTAATTATTTATTCTATTTATTTCAAACCGATCACCTAGGTTAGGGATATATTTAGATTGATAGGTGCCTCACTGAAGTACGCATAAATTCCATTATTACATGTTAATAGACGTCAATGAAAATTTCTGCCGCTAAATTCTAATGATTGATTCTTGAACAAATATCTTGCGAGTTAATTTGATCGATGTTTATGGAGCTTTTTATATTTATTTTTGATGATTTTTTTCTTCTGTGTACTATTTATATATATAGTTTGTTAATCTAAACCAATTAATCATTTGTTTGTTTTTCACACAATGGATTCTCTCCCGTAAGCTGTTCTTACATAACGTTTAATTTCACCTTCTCAACCTGAGCATTCGTATTATGTACAGCTTTTTCTATTTTTGCCAGGTGTAGGTTGACTCGTTCGGACGCCACGTCAAGGTTAGCTTGTTTCATATGGTGGCATGCGCTCTCTTCTGTCGTACCGTCCCAGTAAAAATTTACAGACGCGGCAGCTTCTGATTTGGATTACCAGAAGCTGGGGCGACTCTAAATTTTGTTAGGGGTAATCTGCATTGTTGGCGCGATGCTTCGGGAACACGTCGGCGCCATACGTCAAGATTGTATCTATGTCTCGCTCGTATTGTGACCCTAGATGTAGCAACACGTGCGGTTTGAATATCGAGAAACTCAAATTTAAATGCAAATGCTCGCAGTAACTCGTGCGGTTTCAAGAATTTAAAGGCAGGGAAAATTGCCAAAAAATTCACCATAAGGTAATGTTTCAAGGTTATGTTTCAATAGTGAGGAACTATGTTTCAAACTTGAATGTTGCTATGTCCTGTTCGCTTTCAGTATTTAGCACAGAGTTTCACAACCATCGTTCGAAAACGTCACAGTCAGCATAGATATTTTTGTTGAAAAAAATTGGAAATTTTTTGAAATCTGACTCAACGACCCAAACATTCTTTCAGTTCAAGCCTGTGTTCTCATAGCGAGCTATGCACTGGGATACTTTGTTCATTATAATCCTTTAAAAGGCAAGAGTTCAGTCATCAAAGTATCTAATAACCTCAAAATTTGCTTTATAATTGTACGTGTTGTCTCAGTGCGAGGAGTTGTTAATGCGTGTTGTGTGGCTGCTCGGCTGACCGTCTTTAATAAGACAATGTGGCCATAGCCTTATTAACACTTGCGACGTGAGACTATTACTCAACAGGAGACGTATGAATTTGTCTTTGTGAGTCTCTTTACCAGTGTTTAAATGATTGCTTTTACTCAGTACAACATTTTGATGGCACGATTTTAGAAAGATGTGATGTGTGTTAATTAAATTGTGCTTTCCATTGTTTAGTTGTTTTGAAGACAGTTTCGTTTTTGAAAGAAAAGTTATTGTAAATAGGTAGTGGTAACGTAGCCCGGTTTAATTGCATTCTGACTTTCTCTATGAACAGAACGGAGTAGAATGACAGACGAAACAGGAAAATAATAGATCAAATTAGGCGCTGAATGAAGATAATTATCTATTTTACTGAATAAAAATATCATTATATTTTCGGCAATAAATTGTATCAGACTTAACGTCTGGCATTTTCGTAGGTCGTTCTTGTATCGCGCTTCAATTAGTGTCAAATTTGACGTGCATTAAACTCGACATTGCCGTAGACTTGGCTAAGCTCCAATTCTAGCGGCGTTCATGTGTAACTTTAGGCGTATAGGACATATCCGAGTGAACAATTTTACCCTTTACTTCTTTTGCAGACAGGTTCTTTATCTCTTTCCTTATGATATTCTCATCTGAACTGTGATTCCATCCCTTAATTTCTTTCCTCCTCTTCCGGTCGCTAATTTCCTAAAGCAGGTGCGGGACACCTTTCCCTGCATGACGGGATATTTTAGCAATGGTTCATTATGCATTACTTACAAAATTGAATTACTTATAGCACTCTCACCTAGATAAATGACTCACTGACGAAATCCTCTACTTCACTTTGAATCCATTTTATGTGACTTCGACAAGCCGTAAGTATATAAATTAGTTACGCGGATGGATTTTGTAAGTACGTAATGGTTTATACTACGCGATTGCAGACAGCTGTTCGTCCTCATGTCTGAAAATGATTTAAAGTGTTAACAAAAATATTTTTAATATGTACTGATTTAACTAGGTTATAACGTAATACAGTGTGCATTTATTATGTTCAAGCACGACCGAATAGGCTGCCGTGCTGACTCATTGATAGCAGCTTTGTATTTAGGCGTACGTCGTTATTTTCTTTATTGCATCTCATATTCTGCATTGCCAAAACTATAATCATGTGTGCGTTAAAGTGCAAAAATTCCATTCCACCATTTTTTATCCCTTTAAATTTAGAATGCGCAACTATATAGAGTGCAAATTACTATGCCCTGACTTGAATTATTTTCCAGATTTATCTCTGAGCACGTGGATGGTTATATGTAGGTAACCATTGTTGTGAACTCGCATCCATATTTGCGTTGTTCCTCGTGATATCTTTCTCGCTATCGTGCTTTTTACAATTTGGTTACCTTTTCTCGAATAGGCTTTTACTGAGTCTTAGTGTTTTTAATTAAGACAATTTATGGTATGATCCACCTATTTGCTTGAGGGAGAGCAAGCCTCGTTCTTAGTTGGAATGAAAACTATTGTCAATATGTGCGTTTAAGAACAAAAATTTCAGTTCACGAATTTTTTAGCTCTCCAAATTTAAAATGTTGAATTGTAGTGTGTAAAATACTATACCATGACTTGAATTATTTTCCAGAAATGTATCATGTATGTGACGAAAGATGAGAGAAGAATAGTTATCGTCTCGTCATTAGAGAAGGAGTTATCATCGAGTGTATACATTTTTCTTCTCGACTGTCTTCAGTTTGCTTATAGGTACTGTTGTTAATGAAAAACGAGCTCTTTCTATCGCTTCTACTGAAAAATAATCTAAATGGAAAATTGAATTACTTATAGTACCGTCACCTAGATAAATGCCTTACTAACGAAATCCTCTCGTTCACTTTGAATCGATCTTATGTGACTTCGAGAAACCGTAAATATATAAATTAATTACACGGATGTGTTTTGTAGGAACGTTATGGTTTGCTAACGCGTTTCAGACAGCTGTTCATCCACATGTACGTCCTATTTTAGGAGCATGTATGTGCGGAGAAAATGTATTTTTATTTAAAATATCTCCATCGTTCATGCCAATTATTTTAAAATCTATAAGAGCCGAAATGGGCATGAAGGAGCTGCAACATTTCTTTCTGAGTGCACTCATTGCCTGCGATGGAGAGGATGAAGTGAATTTAGGACCTCAAGATGGGAGGTGAAGAGTTGAAGGCGTTTTAGTGTGTGCTATGCATGAAGTGACGTCTACGTGGCGTGTTGCTGCAACTTCTGGTGCTGAGTAGGAGGCGTTCCTTAGTCGTCAACTTGTGACTTGGTTACAAAACAACTTCATCTTGCAACTGCTGGCTGCCGTTAGAGGCTCAGACCGACGTACGCGCGTGCCTATACGAGCCTTCACAAGCTGCTCCTGCCTGCATCTTTTGCGGGTACCTCTTGTACCTGCAATCCTGCTTTTGCTTTGCTTCGTTAACCATCCTCATTTATTGTGTTCTCTCAGACACTCTGTTCGTTTGTAAAGATACGTACCGATCGATTCAATAATCACTGACTTCTACACAAGTCGCCTCAATCACAGACTTCCGACAGCTCAAGCATTTGCTGTTTCTTCCGTTGATGTGTATAATTATTGCATTATATGAAAGAAGCAATTTAAAATTGCGAGTTTTCGTTTACTAACTCTTTCGTAATTCTGCAGGTGTAATTCTTTCATAATTTATTCGTATTTAGCAGACAAACTCTTGATTGGCGTGCCATATCCATACTAATGCCCCAGTTTTCTGATTCTTGGCTTCGAAAATCTAAATTAGCACCTTTGAACATTTTCTCATAAAACATAAAAGTACCGACTAGTTTTTCCTTTCAAGGCAGAATTAAGGGAGTTTTACTGGAATTTTAGTTGGGTTCCTGTAGCCTCGATGTGCTTTAAATTCGAAGGACTCCAATCTTGGCAAGGATCCAAAGACAGCGAAGATCTACGTCGTTGAAGAGGCAGCCATACGAAGAGGCTCCAGTGCACTCCATCGAACTATACGTGC